TCACCTTTCTTCCAATGAACCACTATAGAATTTAGCAGATGTGCTAGTGACGGGCAAATACTAAAATTAAATATATATATATATATATATATATATATATATATATATATATATACGCACATATATAAAACCATATGAGGCAGACAGTCTGAATCTTATGGCATTTTCCAACTCTGTGCATACTTGTAAGTATTAGAAAATATTTACTGTTTTATGTGCCTGTCAGAGTGTTTGGTTTATTAGTTTTCAAATTATTGGCATCAAAGAGTCTAATCACCATCCTCCATGTACTGAGAATGTTAGACCAGTCTCACAAACCAATTATTTAACCTATTGGTAGCCATTCATTGATTTTGAGATGATAAAAGCATAATTTGGAACTTGGTAGCAGCTTCACCTGCAGACATTCATGGTGGCCCTCTTAGGTGATACATAATAGGATTTTCGGGTGGGCATAATATTTTATCTACAAATTATATAGTGGTTGTTAAACTAGCATTTAACCTCTTAAGGACACAGCTTCAGAAGCTTGACTTACGCTTAATGACACAAGCAATTTTTGCATTTTCTTGCTGTTTGCGTTCAACTGCAATTTGCATCTCTCTCATTTATTGCACCGACACATATTATATACTGTTTTTTAAAGGACAGAAAGGGCTTTAATTTGATATAACATATATATATATAAATGCTTACTTATTATAAAAAAATACAGAAAAATGCAAAAAAAATGAAAAATATTGTTTTTTTTTACAGTTTTTGCAATAATAATGTGTGCATAATTAGTGCAGGTTAAGGAAAGTAATTAAAAATAAATTTATTTATTTGTTCTGATTTACAGAATATATAATGTGTCTGGGATTTTAAGTTTTTTTTGGTAGTTACAGGTCACAAAGCACAAGGAGTAAAATAAACTTTTAATGTGGAGCGATTTTAGAATTTGGTATGTTTGTCTTGTAAGCTTAATAGCCATAAAAGAAAACAAAATTGCCACACAAAAGTATATATTTATATAAAGTAGACATCACGGGCTATTTACCTAAGGTTGTTTTGACACTTTCTACGTAGCCATATTACCGCCAACCTCTGCTAAATATTGGAGTAAAATTGTGTTCTTTTTGGTTTTTGGCACACAAACTTATAACAGAGAAATTCTCGTGTATATTTTGTAAAGTTGGTGTGTGCTATTCCTGTACAAAGTTTTATTTTGTGTTCAGTTACATCTGCTGAGTAAAATGACACCCCCATTGTATGTCTTTTGCACTATTTCGTGAAGTTACAGTGCCATACAGGATACCTGTCCTTTTCAGTATTCACAGTAGAATTTTGAGAGATGAATTTAATGAGCCTTAGCTTCCATTTGGGGTATTATAACAGTTTGACTGTTCAAAAAACCCCCACAAAGGCCTACCATTTGTAAAAGTAGACACTCCAGGGTATCTTATAAGGTGCATATTGTGCCTTAACATGCCCCCATTTTTTCACCAATATATGCCAAAGTATGTGGTAAAAAAAATTTTGTGCATTTTTTACATACGGATTGCATTTTTGCTGGGCGTTTTGTATATTTCATATGTGCCACTAAGTTCAAACCCCCCAAATTATGCTCAGCTAAGTCTTCTGAGTAAAATGACACCCCATATGAATGTCTTTGGCACTATTTCGTGAAGCTACAGTGCCATATAGGAGACCTGTCCTTTACAGTATTCACAGTAGAATTTTGAGAGATGGATTTAATGAGCCTTAGCTTCCATTTGGGGTATTATAACAGTTTGACTGTTCAAAAAACCCCCACAAAGGCCTACCATTTGTAAAAGTAGACACTCCAGGGTATCTCATAAGGTGCATATTGTGCCTTAACATACCCCCATTTTTTCACCAATATATGCCAAAGTATGTGGTAAAAAAATTATTTTGTGCATTTTTTACATACGGATTGCATTTTTGCTGGGCGTTTTGTATATTTCATATGTGCCACTAAGTTCAAACCTCCCAAATTATGCTCAGCTAAGTCTTTTGAGTAAAAATACACCCCAATGAATGTCTTTGTCACTATTTTGTGAAGCTACAGTGCCATATAGGAGACCAAGCCATATCCGTTTTTACCAAACTTTGAATTTTGACGCTGGGCCTATGTGCAATTTCCAAGCATCTTCGCAGGTTTTAAATTCAATCTACCCCACAAAGGCCTACCATTTCTTAAAGTAGACACCCCAGGGTGTTTCAAAAGGTATAGTTTGAACCTTAGCGTGGGATCATTTTTCCGCTAGCTTGTACCAGATGTAGTGGTAATAAGCGTTTTTTCTGCCTTTTTGACATACAAAGTGAGTTTGCACAGTATATTTTGCAAACCTTATGTGTGCTACGACTGTATAATACTTCATATGTTGCTCAGCTATGTCGGCTGAGTACAGCAATACCCCCGTATGTACCTTTGCCAGGTATGTGTGGACATCGGAGGGGCACATTTGGGACACAGCCATTCCAGTTTTTTTCAAACTTTGAATTTTTATGCTGTGCCTATGTCCCATTTTAGAGTATTTTACCAGGCTATATAATCCAAATTCCCCATAAAGCCATACCATTTCTTAAAGAAGACATCCCAGGGTATTTCAAAAAGGCATATTTTGAACCTCAGCGTGGGATCATTTTTCCGCTAGCTTGTACCAAGTGTAGTGGTAATAAGCATTTTTTCTGCCTTTTTGACATACAAAGTGAGTTTGCACAGTATATTTTGCAAACCTTATGTGTGCTACGACTGTATAATACTTCATATGTTGCTCAGCTATGTCGGCTGAGTACAGCAATACCCCCGTATGTACCTTTGCCAGGTATGTGTGGACATCGGAGGGGCACATTTGGGACACAGCCATTCCAGTTTTTTTCAAACTTTGAATTTTTATGCTGTGCCTATGTCCCATTTTAGAGTATTTTACCAGGCTATATAATCCAAATTCCCCATAAAGCCATACCATTTCTTAAATAAGACATCCCAGGGTATTTCAAAAGGCATATTTTGAACCTTAGTGTGGGATCATTTTTCCGCTAGCTTGTACCAAGTGTAGTGGTAATAAGCATTTTTTCTGCCTTTTTGACATACAAAGTGAGTTTGCGCAGCATATTTTGCAAACCTTATGTGTACTATGACTGTATAATACTTCATATGTTGCTCAGCTATGTCGGCTGAGTACAGCAATATCCCCATATGTACCTTTGCCAGGTATATGTGGATGTTGAAGGGGCGCATTTGAGACGCAGCCATTCAGTTTTTTTCTAACTTTGAAGTTTTACGCTGTGTCCATGTTCCAATTTGGAATAGTTTAGACGGTTGGTTATTGAGACTTCCCCACAAACACATACTATTTATTAAAGAATACACCCTGGGGTAATTCAAAAGGCATATTTTGAACCTTGGCGTGGGATAATTTTTTCTCTAGTTTGTTCCAGGTGTAGTGGTAATGAGCGTTTTTAAAATGTATTTTTTTACTTTTTATAACTTTTTTACTTTTAAAAACTAGTTTTTAAACTTTTGTTTTGCTTATAAATTTTTTTTAAACTTTCCTAAACTTTCTTAAAACTTTTTTACAGATTTAACATTTTTCTAAGCTATTTTTTTTACTGTTAACCCCTAACTAGCAGTACGCAGCACTAACAGTAAATTCCCCATTTTCCCATAACTCCCACCCACCCCAGCTAGCAAAATATATAGTTATAAAATATTTAAATTAATTAATTAAATAAATTGAACCCCTGAGGGTTAAAAAAAATAAATAAAAGTTAATCCTCAGGGGTTAAAAAAAATTAGATCACAGTATAATACTGTGATCTCTATTTGATCGCTGTAGGCAGTGATCGACTGGCAGGGAAGGGGTTAATTTTTATTTGGACTAGGTAAAGTGTGTTTTTTTTGTTTTTATTACTTAAATGTTATTAAAACATTTTTTTAAGCTTAATTTTTAACTTTTTAAAGTTTCTTTTAAAACTTTTTTTAACGTTAACCCCTAGTTAGCCTAACGCCAAATCCCCCAATTCCCCACTAACTTCCACCTACCCCAGCTATCTAAATATATAATTTAAAAATAATTTAATTAATTAATTTAATTAATTTACCCCCTGAGGGTTAAAAAAAAAAGAATTAACCCTCAGGGGTTAAAAAAAAAATCAGATCATAATAAAATGTAATCCCTGCCAATTGATCACTGTAGTCAGTGATCAATTGGCAGGGAAGGGGTTAATTTTTTTTATTAAAATGGGTAAGGGGGGGGGACTTTAAATAAACTTTATTTTTTTTTCCAGCAGGGGGCAGGATCAGCACTGATCCGGCTCCCTGCACTTCACACAGAACCCGGAAGTGCAGGGAGCCGGTAGGTGAGTATACTGAGCACATGTGCTCGCTCCGACTTGTGGTCAGAGCGAGCACATGTGCTGGGCAGCTTGACCGGGTGCTCCCGGTATGCCTCTAATGCAGAGGCATACCGGGAGCACCATTAACCCCGCGATCGCCGCGATAGCGGCGATCCGGGGTTAATTTTACCGCGTGACGGACGAGGTCCGTCACCCGTCGTTAAGGGTCTCCCCTGTGTGACGGACCTCGTCCGTCACCCGTCCTGAAGGGGTTAAGGGTCACCAGCTTAAAGGTTTCGAAACAAACCCCATTCATTTTAAATAAGGATATTTATAGAATATTTATTTTTGCTTTAAGACTAGTACCTGTTCAGGTGGGGTTAACATAAAATTGGCATGAAATTAATTTACAATACACACTTGTAGGCTGAGATAGATGAGTTAAGCCTTTCAATACTCATGCTTAGTACCTCGATGAAAGGAAATTTTATTTGTTTTCTTTATTATCAACAATTAAAAGTTACAAGTAATAAAGCCCTTTGTGAGTATTTTATAATGGATATTATTAAATATCTTTTTTTCTGATGGATTTCACTTCTCCGTGGAGAAAAGTGACCTATTTTCAAATTGTTTTTATTAAATTTTTTCAGTGGATCTCCTGGTTCAACCTTGCTCCATTTGGGCATCTACCTTTAGGTCTTCTTTGGTCGGGGAACAACACTTATCTAGCCGAAGTCAATGTGCAATTAGGGACTGAAACTAGTTTGTTTTTAAGATATTTGGCATTTGCTTATAAGCTCAAAATTTGTAAATCCATATTAGCACTCTTTTATCTCCATGGTCATTGGTAAGATAGGTAGGAAACTATGGGGAGGAAATGACCTACTATATGAATTTATTGTTTTATTATTGAATAGATAATGCATTAGAATATTCATAAAATAAAGAGGTTACCAAAAAAGTTTCATTTACAAACCCTTTATTGAGCCTGCATGCAACTACAAGGAATAAATTACCAGGAATAAATTAGGAGACCAGGTGGCATCTCAATCCAGTCTATAGTGTCTATTCTTATCCCATAAACTCGTCTTTAGCAGACATATCTAAATTTCTGAGATACATTGTTTATTATTTTTATTTTTACTAATTACTGTTTTTTGAAAACAGTAAGAGTAGAGAGTTTACAGTCTCTATTCAATCAACACTGCAACAATACAAAGTTGTTATGGTGCTTACACTGGCCCTTTAACCGCTTCCCGACTGCGGACGTACCAGGTACATCCAGGGAAAAAAATGGTTAACGACCTCAGACGTACCTGGTACGTCCGTTGCAAATACTGACCCATTTACTTACCTGGACCGGCGATCCAAGTCGGGGGGGACTGCCTGAGACCCCAGCAGACCCACTGCAGCAGCTCTGGCCCTCCAGGGCCATGTGATCACATAGCCACAATAAGAGTCTATGGAGCTACCAACAGGGGGACTGTCTGTGCTGTCAGGCAGTCCCCCAGACTCCTAAAAATGTGTAAAATAAATAAATTATGAAATACAATGGTGCCTCGGTTAACATAACTTTCAGTTTATAAATGAAAATCCATCAAAAATAATGTCTTGGTTTACAATTTTTGTTCGCAATACAAAGCAAGTTTCCCCAGGAGGCATTGCTGAAGTCTGTGGGTAGCACGTAGCGTTGAGTGTGGATGTGTTGGAGTGGCTTTTGCATCGAGTTTTGGAGCATTTCTGGAAAAAAATTTGCAGATTTTTTTTTTTTACTTTTTGGGTGCATTTCTTAAGGAGTGCAAAGGTAGGGAGCTGAGCTTCATCGTTTGCATGCCTTTTACTGTGTGTTCTGCATTGTGGGTTGGTTTCCATGCCAGCTCATTTTGACTTTTTTCTGACCTCTGGAACGGATTATTTGGTTTTCAATGCATTCCTATGAGAAACCACGTTTCGGTTTGCAAATTTTTCACAATAAAAAATGTCCCGGAGAACGCATATAATTTGTAAACCGAGGTACCACTGTGTATATATATATATATATATATATATATATATATATATATATACACACATACATACACACACACACGTTTATTTCCTATATATGTATAATATATTATAAAATAATTAAAGCATTTTATAATGTATGATTACATTATAAGTGTATCTATCTCAAAGAACACTTACAATAAAATCATGTATATGCATTATATATGTATACTATATGATAAAATGCTTTAATTATTTTATAATATATTATACATATATAATATATTTACAGTGGGACCTCGGTTTACGAATTTAATGCGTTCTCCGAAACGTTTCTTCTTGCAAAAAATTTGTATACCGAAATGCGTTGTCCCATAGGAATGCATTGAAAACCAATTAATTCGTTCTAGAGGTCAGAAAAAAGTCAAAATGAGCTGGCATGGAAACCACAATGCAGGACACACAATAAAAGGCATCCAAACGACAAAGCTCAGCTTCCTACCTTTCCACAGCTTGAGAAATGCACCAAAAAGTCCCAAAACAACTGCAAACAATTTCCAGACTGGCTTCAAAACTCGATGCAAAAGCCACTCCAACACCTCGAAACTCTATGCCACGTGCTACCCACAGGCTCCAGCATGCAGGGGGCGGTGCTATAAACCTCCTAGGGAAACTTGTTTGTATTTTGAAAAAAATTGTTTAAACTGAGGTATTATTTGCAATGGATTTTCAATTGTAAACCAAAAATTATGTTAACCGAGGCATTTGTAAACAGAGGTCTCACTGTATATTGAACTACATAATGTACATGTTACATAATTATTTGATTTGATTCATTATAATTTGAGGGACCTGCATGACAACCCAGGCAGACAGTCCAGAGAATTTAATTGGCAAGCCATCTATTTAACCCCGTAACTTTCCAAAACACCATAAAACCTTTACATGGAGGTTATTGTTATACTTGAGACTTTATTGAACACAGATATGAGTGTTTTAAAAAGTAAAACTTGTCACGATGATTTTATCACCAGTAAAAAAAACAAATAAAAATGCTAACTTTGGCCAGCATACGTGACTAAGTGGCTACAGCAAAAGAATGGACATACCCTATTTTGAATACCCTGGGTTGTCTACATTTGAAAATGGTATGCCATGATGGAGTTAATTCACATTCCTGGTCTCAAAAGGAAACATAGACCCAGCAAACCAATCTGGCAAACTGAAATGGGCAAGCCCTATATTGACCCTGTAACTTTTCAAAACATCATAAAATCTGTTCAAGGGGGGTATTGTTATAGACTTAACTGAACACAAGTATGTTTTACTGTTTTGAAAAACTCACGCGATGATATGGTCAGTGAAAGTGAAGTTTTTTGCATTTTTCACATACAATCGGCACTTTCACTGTTGATATTGTTGTGGTACGTTTTACTCTTTTGAAACATTAATATTTGTGTTCAGTTAAGGTGTTATAGTGTTTTTGAAAGTTACAGGTTCAAATATAAGGCTTGATTTTCCATTTTTTCACATTGAAATTTGCCAGATTGGTTATGTTGCCTTTGAGTAGCCCAGGAATGAGAATTACCCCCATGATAGCAAACCATTTGCAAAAGAACACAACCCAAGGTATTGCAAATGGGGTATGTTCAGTCTCTTTTAGTAGCCACTTAGTCACAAACAGCAACTTATTTACAAACACTGGCCAAAGTTAGTGTTCATAATAGTTTTTTTGCATTTTTAACACACAAAAAAATATAAATGCTAACTTTGGGCAGTATTTGGGGTAAGTGGCTACTAAAAAAGACTGGACATACCCCATATTGAATACTTTGGGTTGTCTATTTTAAAAAAAATATGTACATGTGAGGTGTGATTCAGAGATTTATGGCTGATAACAGTGTTACAATGTCACTATTGATAAATTTAAAAAATATATATTTTGAAATAGCAATGTTCTCCTTGTTTTTATAGCCCTATAATTTGCAAAAGAAAAGCTAAGAACATGTTAACATTGTGTATTTCTAAATTCAGGACAAAATTTAGAAACTATTTAGTATGGATGTTTTTCGGCGGTTGTAGATGCGTAACAGATTTTAGTGGTCAAAGTTAGAAAAAGTGTTTTGTTTTTTAAAAAATTTTCATCATATTTTATAAAAAAATTTTATAGTAAATTATATGATATGATGAAAATAATGGTACCTTTAGAAAGACCATTTAATGGCGAGAAAAACAGTATATAATATAAGTAAGAGAAAAATTACAGCTAAACACAAACACCGCAGAAATTTAAAAACAGCCCTGGTCCTTAACGGTAATAAAATTGAAAAATGGTCTGGTCACTAAAGGGTTAAAGATGGCTGACTCTACTGAACACGGTTAAGCCAAAAGATGTACTGAAAATAGGTCTTTTTATATGTAAGATTGCAAAGTCATACACAGAGAGACTGTAATATATATAAGATTTCAAATAATAAAAATTGTCAATTTTCCTTTAATGCTTTTCTTTGTTCATGTACTTTGCTATAGATATGGGTCAGGCAACCTTTGGTACTCCATATGTGCTGGTCTGCTACTCCCCTGATGCTTTGCTAGTGGTATGATCCTTCTGACAATCTTATTTACTAAACTAACATTTTCAAAAAATCAATTTATTTAAAAAAATTAAAAATTAAAATTTGTACTTTTTACATTGAGTAATAACATTTTTGTAACTTATTTTATTGCAATTTCTAAATAAGTCTATAGGCAAAAAAGAATTGTTGTAAGCAATCTATAATTCAACATGGACTTGGCCCTCACATTCCTATCCTGTTCTTGCCTCGATGCTATTTCGTGCCCCAATACAACATCCCAGAGAAATGCACTCAGAAGGCTTGTAGTCTTGTGCAATATATCCTTTATTAAATTAAAAAGTTATTTTTCTTGGGGGCGGAGCTTGAACCTGAAGTGGAACAGTCGCCATATCTGACAGCTCCTGGCGAATCTGATAATCCATAAACATCTCGAGAAGGGACAGAAATATAATCTATCCTGACCAGAAAGCTGCACCTACACAGCAGGGCACACCAATTGATGCCTTTTTTTTCACTCTCCCAGGCGACAAGGTGAAACAAAGGCCTAAGGCCTATCCCTCGCCAACCATCCACGGACTGGAGTACTTCCTTGACGGAGCTTATGCTCAAGGTGAGCCAGACCTAGAAGGCAACCTCCTCCCGACCTGTTCCACTACTCCAACGAATATGGGGAGACATGCACAGAAACTGCAGCCTGGTCCGTCGGCAGGACAAACCGACATCAGAACTCTATTGCAGAGTCAGGCACAACCCACAAGCCCCGACACTGTCCCGCTCTCCAGTCCACACACATAGAGCCAGACATAGAGAGAACTCCTCTACCAACCCATGCTGCACCCGATAACACGCTGGCCACTAAACAAGACCTGCAAAATTGGGTGCAAGACATCAAGAAAATGCTGGCCACAGATGTGGGCTTACTTAAAGTGGACTTGCAAAATGTAACTGACCGGGTATGGGTGACAGAGTCAAGTATCATGGACATTCAAACTGACATGACACATGTGAAAGATGCGATATAACAACTGCAGACCACCCAGCCAGGGCTCTCCCTGCAAATGTCAACCTATGAAGACCGTGCCCATTGCAAACACATCAAAATACGTGGGGTCCCTGCTGACATCACAGTGGACGAACTGTCACACTATGTGAGAAGACTCCTTGCTACCATCTTGCCTCCAACGGCCGACACAAAAACCATTCTTGACGGGCTGGACCGGCTCCCATCCTTGCTCAACACGCCTAACACAGCTACCAGGGATGTCGTCCTACGCTGTGCTACATCTCAGGATAAAACCAACATCATGTCGGCAACTCATGGCAAAACACCCCTGGTCTTTGATAATGCACAGTTACTATTCTTTCAGGGCCTAACTAGAGCCACGCTCCAATGGCTCCGTTCTCTGAACCACCTCACAAGCCATCTGCTCACCGCTGGCGTGACCTATCGTTGGGGAACATCAAGATCCCTACTGATAATCCACAACGGGACAACTCACAGATCTCAATGAACACCGAAGTACCTGCAGTGCTAGCCAAGATGGGTCTCCCTGACATGAACACCACTACAAGAAACCACGCTTGGGCATGGGACCCCGTCAACTCTGTGCCATTTTTCCCACGACCGAATGAAACCGGCAGGCCCAACCGCTTGACTAGCAAGGGCACAAGCGGACTCTCTCAGGGTCCAAGTGGACTGTTTGCAAAAAGCAGCACAAAAAACTGCACAAGCTAATTATAACCTTGTTTTCTTATTTACTGTTATCTGTACATTCATTGATATTTTTTACATGCCCGTTAGGATACAGTAATAAAACTTGGCGACTCTACACACATGATGGAGGGTCACGAACCCCCCCGCAACCCTGCTGATTAGGGGCAAACCCACACCTTTGGTGACCATGGTCACTCCATACCCCGGAACCCAGTCACTAAAGATTTTCTACCTGAACCCATCATGGTAGTACATGTGAAGCCACCCACACTTAACACAACACGTCATGCCACTTGGCGAAATTACTACCATCCCGGGCCTGCACAAAAGATTTATAGGCTGGGAATCGATGTATATATATATATGGGCTAATAGGGGGCCCCATATTTTTCTCCGACACTTGGGGTTGCAGTCCCAAGGCACACCTGGGCATAGGTTGATGATATAACAGCCAAGGTGATATTACCTAAATTAAGCCCCTCACTAATCCCCTGTCTAATTCTCCCCCGCCTTCTGTTATCACGCATTCATGGCCAAACTAGACCTAGCCATGTCAACCACACCTACTGGGAGATACTTCCAGTTATGCGATTAGGTTGGTTGGTAGCTCTGTCCCCATGCTGAGACAGCCCAGCAGGTTCACCCTGGTATAATTCACTCACTCAATGTTTGTATGACACCTCGACACATAGACTACCCCATCTGTCAGTTTGCGCAGACTGTCTATCTGCTGTACCGTACCATTACTTACCCGCTAACATATTACACTTGAACACAACTACCGTATAAAAAATGTGCAGATTCCACAAATGTCATGACCATGCTTATCCTGAAATGATTGCATTGGCCTGTCTCTGCTTTTATGGCTCAACAAGCATGTTTGTACACCCCTAAGTACAACAAAATAAAGAATTTTTTTTTAAAAAGTTATTTTTCTTCTTCAAATTTACAGGAATCATTTATGGATTTTAACAGGTGAGTCATTACCCAAAATCCAGTACGCATGGTGTTTCATTAGGTCCCAGTAGCTGGAACAGAAACATCACATTTATCTGTTCCCAAACAGTTGCCCATGATAAATGGGTTTTCATGTCAATCTTCTAGGAAGGGCTTGACAAATGTATTTTGCAGAATTTTGTTTGGTTTATTTTTCAAAGCAGTTACAGAGTTGGTCATTGACATAATTTAATTTTAAAATTTCGAGATTGGACCAAAAGCCATGTGATAATTTGAGACCCTGTAAAAAAATAAAATAAAAATAAAAAGTGTAAGAGCCACTGGCATACTGGGTTGATGTGTAAATATGTAGCAATATTTTTTTTTTTTTTTTTAAATAATTCTTTATTTTTTCATTCGATAGGTACAGCAAGTACAGCTCATAGTTTCGGGCTTGCGCAGAAGCCAACATTTGAGCAAAACTTATTAGCAAAACACTATATAATATGTTCTTATAATGCAAGCCTCTTACTAATCCCAAGGTGCCTTGCCTCCTACCGAGGATTTTTTTTTTTTTTAACTTAAAACTTTAGTTATAATCGACAGTGGTTACAAGTTTATGACAATGTAACAGAAAAACAAATTTTTCTCATTGAAAAGCATGAATAACAGTAACTTATGCTCTCCCTTTCATTCTATACCAACCCCTTGTTACTTGTTTAAGTGTTTTGACTAATTTGTTCATTCAGGGGTATCATCTCTGCATGTGCTATTTGCTTTTGCAGTGCACCTCTTGTCTTCTTTATATGTTAAATGTAGCCATATTTTGAAGATATGTTTTTAGTTAATTAGGCTTTGAGAGAGAGCTGTTTTTAAAGGAGTTTCCACTTTCACACTCAGATCAAATATGCAACAAAACAAACAATTACACTCTTAGGTGAACACACAAATAATATGCTTATATGTTTCCAATTTTCTTGCAATAAAGTATTTTAACTTTTTACCATATTCTCTGAGTTAGAAGTATTTCTAACTGTATAGGCACCACGGACCCTCCATTATAGAGCCTAATACGGCTCTATCCTTCTGAGTGATAGTCTTCACACATATTGCTGTTTTCACTTTATACAGAAAGTGTATTATTTGTGTGAGGGAGAGGCTTTTTCTGCAACTCTGTGTGTATTTAGCAGTATGGGTTGCTTCCCTGTGGTGCAGTGGGGACTAGGTTTGCCAGGTGCATTACAAGGGCAGGAGCTGAGATAGCTACTGTGCTTTTCTACTCCAGTGCAGATACCTGTTCTCAGATCACTTCCTCCCAGTACTTGTGAACACTTCCTCTAAGTGCTGCAATGTGTAAATTCCGGATTGTCCCTCACCACCGGCAATCACCACTTGGTTTGCACTAGCAGATATCTGAAGTCCCACTGGAACTCCTTATAGTCCAGAGCCTGTTTGAATCTGGCAGCCTTGAATGCCGTGCAAAGGCACCTTGAGTGCCATAGGTCCCAGACCCCTGTAGTAAGATAAAGTAGGCACTACTCCAGACAAAACACATTGTAATTGGGGAAAATTCATTGTCTATAGAGGGTTTCGTGAGATCCTCTATAGACCTCAGTGTTGTACTCTAGCGCATGTGTGAGAATACAACATAGACATGGGCTCCTGAAAGATGAAGCCTCAGGAGCTGAAGAGGACCCACTAAATGAACATGGGGCAGCCACAATGTTTAAGAAAATAAAACTAACCTTTCACTGCACCTTTCCATAGCCACCACGCTGCAAGAGGAGCATTCACCACAGTGGGACTTGCCAAAATATGCCTCTTTAAAATGATACTTGCCTCTATGTACAATATTCATGTTTTAGACAGTAGACTTTTTGACTATATATAGATATATTTGGTAACATATCAATTGCAGCATCATTATCCCATCACAACTTCAGTTTTACTAATATAACAGTTTTCTTTTCAGGAATAACTTGAGCCACATTTTCATGATACATGCTTTGTTACTTTCAGTATTCACATATTACCCAATAGACCTGGACCATTCATTATCTTTACTTATCTCACCATAGGTTAAACAACAAAATAAACTTCTTGTAACTTTGAAAGTTGTTTTATACAATCTATGGCCACTCCAGGCACCATAGCAACTTTTGTTACATTGTCTGTTGTCTTTTCAAAGTTTAACCCCTTCAAGTAAGCCAGCAGAACCCAGGACCTTTTCACACCATAACATAACTGGTCCTTTAAACGAATGCTTCATCATGCCTGACCACTTAATGCAGGGTCTGATTAGATGCAACTTTATCTATCATCATAAGTGTATAGAAGAAGTAATTTTTGTTTGATAATAATATTTTAAGACCAGAAAAGAAAGACCCACAGGGTCAGAGTTAGGAAGCCCCTAAATAGAGTTATATGTATATAAAATGTAACTTTTAATAGTAATTGTTAAAAAAAATCCACATTGTTTTAAAAAAAAAAAAAAAAGGTCTGAAAAGATAGGGAGACCAGAGAAGAAAACTAAATACAGATTACTAAGTGAGGACAAAATCTCTAATTCTAAGGCCACATAAGTGGATCTCATATAAAATGGAAAAAAGCCCTTCCTTTGCTGAACTCTTCCTTAGTGCTGCTAGATGTAATATACACGACTGGCTCTGTGGTTACTTGAAAAACAAGTCTCGGAAGAAGGCGCGTTCTATAGCGCCGAAACATGTGTTAGGCAGGGAGACCAGCGATTCAATCTCTTCCTATATTTGAATCTCTCATCATCGATAGATTTAGGGAGATTACAGCTGTTGCGTGGATGTTTGGCTAAGGTTTCTTCAAGCTTCTTCATTGAGCTGACTATCTGGGTTATCTAAGGCGGTTGGTGGGAATCAACATTTATAGATCCCCTGTGTGGGATGCTTTATGCCTTCCACTCTGTGATTTCACACCAAGGGATACTATGTATTTATTCTACCTGGATATACTGACATCTTTTATCCCCTGATACATTGTTTATATGTATCACTTTGTTGCCATACCCCAGCATTGCATTCAGTCAGTGTTTTTCAAGTAACCACAGAGCCAGTCGTGTATATTACATCTAGCAGCACAAAGGAAGAGTTCAGCAAGGGAAGGGCTTTTTTTCCATTTTATATGAGATCCACTTATGTGGCCTTAGAATTAGAGATTTTGCCCTCACTTAGTAATCTGTATTTAGTTTTCTTCTCTGGTCTCCCTATCTTTTCAGACCTTTTTTTTTTTTTAACAATGTGGATGTTTTTTTTAACAATTACTATTAAAAGTTACGTTTTATATACATATAACTCTATTTAGGGGCTTCCTAACTCTGACCCTGTGGGTCTTTCTTTTCTGGTCTTTTCTACACAAGTATATGTGAGGGTTACCCCCCTTTTCTGGTTGCCCCAGACACACACCTTGGCAAGGCACCCCCTCTTAGGGGTTCCTTGCTTTTCTGTTTTTCTAATGATATTTTAATCCTCATGAAAAAAGTATGATAGTGGTCAGATAAAATACACTTACTAAATGGCACACAATTTAGTCTGATCTGTGTGTATCACTTTATACCTTTTTTTTTTTTTACCTCTAAAATACTTTTCTGCATTTCATTCAATTTTCTTACAGAAATTCAGTAGTCCTACAACAATTATGTTAATTACAGTATATTTTCAAATCGCCAGAGATCAAATCGAAATGAAGAGATTTTAATAAAAATGTTAGCATACATTTTAGTACAGTGTGGGATTAATTCAAGTATTTAAAGTACGTTTATCATTTCTGTAAATGTTTATTATATTTTAACTTCTGTCTAACAAACTGTTTTACCATTTTATTAAAGAACCATTTTGCAAGCATGTTAGTATATTACAATTATTGCATTGAAACAAGTTGATATAATTTACATTACATTTGTAAAATTATATTTTCATTGCATTTGTATTGTTAATCTTTGAACACAAGGCTAAAACATGTTCACCAATAGCATTTTTGCTCCTCTATAACTTTTAACATTTTTTATAATTCTGTCCTGCCATTCCACTATAACAGTTTTATTTATTTTGATTATATGTTTCTAATTTTCTATGTTATATTGTTATACAATTTTATATGACCATGATGGTAATGTTTTGTAAATGGAAGCCCCAGTATATGGGAACATGTTTAGATTTGCTAACAAGCAGAGCATTGATGATTTTAACAATTTAGGTATATTTAGGAAGTAGCTGTAATTCTGGTAAACAGCAACTAAAAGTGCAATCCTATCGGTTCAGTGCCATCTGTTGCACTTACCCAATTAAGGTAAGTGTGGAGAAAACCCACAGAATCTAAAAATGGTAATCAAGTTTTATTGTTGTAACAATTTTAAAAACTCAATAAATTTTACATTTTGCTTATGCAGTGTCTTTAATTTGTTGCTTTGTTTGCATATTTATTTATTTTTTGGGGGGTGAGTGTAAACATGTTTCTAAACATCAAGAGTTTCAAATGCCACAAGGAGCAAAGTGACATCAACAGAGTAATGCATTTGAAAATAAATGTGTATCTTAATTTAACTAAAAAAAAAAAAAAATGTCATTGGTATGCTTCCTTAGCGAACACGTAAAATGTTTTTACTAACAAATCTGTCTGTGCCAATGCAAAAATAACATTCTTAGATTTTTTGGAATAGGCTTTATCCAAACTGCATCTTCTTTACTTCCTATAGCAATACCCCAATTTATGTACAAGATTCATGACTCAGTGTAGCTTTATACTGGTTCACATTCTGACGACTGCATAAGCAATATGCACCTGTATTAGGCAAGAAAGTGTGTGAGTAATTTCATGAACAAATTGGTAACATCCAGTATATATGTGCCTTGGTTTAAAGGCTCTTTCATTAGATACCCTTAGGTCCTCTGATGGTCTTGATACATGCCAATTCAGCATGACAGTGCTATTGCTAAACACCTCTGTGAGACAGTCCAGCAGTTCATTATTTGAGGCAGTCCCAGGTACCGGACTCTCTTAATACCTACACCCACATTTGTATCTTTGTTGATGGTAAATTTTCCTTATACCCAACAGTGCCGCAGTTACTAATTTTATAGTGCAAGTGCATTTTTTAAAAATGTTATTATAAATATGTACTTACATTTTTCATTTTTTTTCTATGTGTGTCTGTCAGGTGCTGTGTGTGTGTGTAGTGCAGTGTGTGTGAGAAGTGTGCCAAGCGTGTGTGTGTGTGTGTGTGGGAGGGACGCAGTTTGTATGTGTGTGTAGGCTGCATAGGGTCTATGCTGTGTATAGGTGGGTGAGATGTGAAAATCTGTTTTAATGTCTCCCCCTCCCTTCTTCTTATCTTTTACCAGGGAGGTGGGACATAATGCTGCACTTGTGGCATGTTTACTTTAGCCTGCAGCTCCTCCAGTTATGTATGGGGGCATAAATATTAAAATAATATTTTCATAAAAATGATCAAAAATGACTTTAATTTTTATTATATCAAAAATTTATATATTGGCACTGTTTCCCTTGATTGATTTAAAGTGAAGAGTTACCCACTATTTTAACTCTTACAGACCCTGGAGTACGTTTTATTAGAGAATTTGTATTTCACACATTAAGCACAAACTTATTCTAAAAATTTATACAAAAGGACCAATGGGTCCAAGACCACCCAGGTGCAGTGATAAATGATGAATAATAAAAAAGGTAATTCCTTTTTTGCTTTAGGTCGTAGAAAAAGGATTCCAATTAATCCTCAACAAACAGATAAATATATACAATACACATAAATAAAAAACAGAGAAAGAAAACTCATAGGGAAACACCATATAGCAAAAGAATGGCCCCTAATGTTGGAATACACTCACAAGCTCAATGAATAGATCAGGCACGTCAATATGTCTTTAAATCCTCTGGGGATGATCGTCATCTCAGATCTCCACGAAACCATGTGAAAACATACAAATGGACATAGTACATAACTGCTTCAGACTGCATATAACAAAAAGCCCATCCTCCGTCCTAGATAGTATCAGTAGGGTTTAAAGCACAGGAATAACAGGCAATAAAACAAAAAATTTAAATATAAAAAATAATTTATATTTAAATTTTTTGTTTTATTAGTTTTGTTGCCCCCCTTGTTTCATATATATAAATATAAATATAAAATGTGTCTGCCTTTGCATTTTTGTTACAAAATGGAGTAATATCTGCTAAGTGGTGACGTGCAGTATACATTTTTAATTTATATCTTAACACAAAATGTCTGCCAGTAGAAATACCCTGACAGAGCACAGCACTGTATCGGAGCGTTATCATGGTAACAAGCGGCAACGCTCCGACCAACCTGCCCGCGCGAGGAACATAGAGCTTCCCAGGCCCTGCCCTATCTTTGCTGGAACTAAGTGCCAGTGGGCAGGTGAGCTCTGCATGGGCTGGCAGGGGAGAGGAAAGGATCTCCCCTGCCGGCCTTGGTCCACGGCCATCGAGGGCCACTGGGCATTTTTTGCAGAACTCACAACCGCCCACCTGAAATCTGAAACCGCCCACTAGTGAGCAGGAAGGACCATGTTGACTACCCCTGGTTTAGAGTAAGCACATGGGAAGGAGAGACAGAAATGGAGCTGGAGGTAGGACAAATGCAATGGGAGTATACAGAAGAGATACACAGTGGGAATTGGTATAAACGAGGGAGAAACAACTGGGGTACAGGAAAGATCAACTGTTTTGTGAGAAAGGCTGAACTTGGACACTTCTCTTTTCAATAAAATGATTAGCTCACTAGGAGTAAGATTTCTACATATCTAGGAGTTGTTAGGAGTAAGATAACGCTCTTTATGTGATTTTATCTGTAGCGCTCCACTATTTGTTATAAGCATGTATCTTTTCAGCTATGTAACTGGAGATGGTTGAGATACATCTGTGGGAGAGATATACAGGTGAATGTAATGTATTTCAAACTAAAAACATACCTCTAATTTGAGCCTATAACTTCCATCAAACTTGGCTTAGGATGTAAACATGGATCATTGATGTACTCAGGGTTGTTAGCAGAATATATCTGGTTTGTTAAGAGTTCTCCAAAATATTACCGCTACGTTTGGCAGAAATGAATATGAATCGGGCATTTAAAAAAGACCAAAGTAACCAAGTAACATAGCCTAGGGCCCTTGACTGTCTTTTTTTGCAAGTTGTACACCTTGATGGGGGTAATTTGCAACTGTGAGTTGCTAGTGAGTTCCAAATTCTGTCAAAATTGAAAATCTAAATTTTAAATTGGCAGCTTCTAGATTTGCCCTGTAATAATGAATTCTGCATTATCAGTACGGCAGAAGAGGACAGATATTAAGTGATGGGTTGAGTGTTCATTTTTGTGATACTGTCCCAAAGCAGTCTTACAGAAACCTGAGGGATAGAGCCCGTAGAATCATTGCACCATATATATATATATATTTCAGTGAACTGTAGTGGTTATGGTGCTTGGTTTCTTGAGTTTACAAATATTTGTATCTACACAAAATAACTTTGTTGTTAATACACTTACAAAATGCATGATTTTTGCTGGCACCAAGTCATATACTTATGATATACCATATTAAAGGATATAGCTTATCCTTTCCTCTCGCCCCACCACTTGCCTGCTTGATCCTGTCCCGTCTCACCTTATTAGATCTCTCTCTTCTTGTCTTGTGCCCTCCTTGCCACAAATCTTCAACTGCTCTCTTTCTTCTGGCACTGTTCCTGCTGTCCTGAAACATGCTACTGTAGTACCCATCTTAAAAAAAAACATGTCTCGACCCATCCTCCCCCTCTAACTATCGTCCTATATCCCTGCTCCCTTTTTCCTCAAAGCTTTTTCACCCATCTGGCCTGGTTCCTCAATTCCTACTCTCTCCTCGAACCTCTTCAGTCCGGCTTCCGCCCCCTCCACTCTACTGAGACTGCCCCTATCAAAGTCACTAATGACCTTATCACAGCTAAATCCAATGGTCACTACTCCATACTAATTCTTCTTGACCTCTCTGCTGCTTTTGACACTGTTGATCATGTTCTCCTTCTCCAAACTCTTCAATCACTCGGTCTCTGTGACTCTGGTTGGTTTTCCTCCTATCTCTCCCAACGCTCATTCAGCTTCTCCTTTTCTAATGATATCTCCACCGTTCGTCCTGTCTCAGTTGGACTCCCTCAAGGCTCTGTCCTTGGTCCCCTTCTATTTTCTCTTTAAATTGCCTCTCTTGGCAAGCTTATTACCTCTTTTGGATTCAAATACCGCCTGTACGCTGATGACACCCAGATATATCTCTCCTCCGCGGACCTCTCCCCTGATGTCCTGCAACGTGTCGCCTCTTGCCTTTCTTCTATCTCTGATTGGATGTCCTCCCGCTTTCTGAAACTGAATCTTTCCAAAACAGAACGTCTTGTCTTTCCTCCTCCTAATATTAATCCTCCTCTCTTGCTCTCCCTTCAGATTGGTGGTACCCATATCAGCCCATCCTTACAAGCACGTTGTCTTGGTGTTACTTTTGATTCTGGCCTCACCTTTGAGCCTCACATCCGGTTTGTTGTCAAATCAATTCCACTTCAAAAACATCGCCCGCATCCGCCCCTTTCTTACACAAGATGCTACTAAAGAGCTTGTCCATGCTCTAGTAATCTCTCGCATGGACTATTATAACTCTCTCCTAATTGGTCTTCCGCATAGCCGTATTGCCCCACTACAGTCTGTAATGAATGCTGCCGCCAGACTGATTTTCCTCTCTAGTCGGTCCTCTCACCCCTCTGTCAGTCCTTACATTAGCTTCCTGTATCCTATAGGAGTCAATTCAAAGTGCTAA